TGAAGATATTAATAATTAATAAGGTGAGTCTGAGATGTTCATGGGAGAGTAAAAATATTTTTAAAACGTACACCGTTCAAACTAGGCTGCTTATGTTGAAGTGTTTGGGATGTGGCTTTTAATGAGGATACCTTTTTTGTAATCAGGCTCTCAAAAAGTATATAACAATTTGGATATAGATTTATCGGCCAACATATCGGTTATCGGCTTTCAAAAATAAAGAATAATCGGTTATCGGTATCGGCCAAATTTTTCATATCGGTGCATCCCTAAAATATATCGTGATATAAATTTTGGCCATATCGTCCAGCCCTACTTCTACTTTAAAAGTTTTTGTTTTTAGATTGCAATTAGTGTTGTCACGGTACCAAATATTCGGCACCAATACCAGTGAAAATCCACGGTTCTCTGTACCAATTTTAATACCAAAGCAAAACAAAAAAATTATAATTAAAAAAATTTGACTATACTTTCATTTAATCCTAACTGTGTACATATTTAACTTTAAAGGGCTTTTGAAAACCTTCTAGAGTTATTCAGGCAAGAATAACAACTAAGTTAGCTAAAAAAAAGCCCAGAACTGCTTTTCTGACTGATATGACACAATGTTAACCATTTGTACATTCTCTAACACTCATATTTTAGATTCACAATTCATTTAAAAGCCTCTGGTGTGTAAGAATAGTAAATATCATCATGTCCTCCTGTTTTTTACCCTAATAAAAAAGTTATATTAAATAGTTAATAAAGAAACTTCCATTCTAATGCTCATTATATTAGCGTTAGCCGCGCTTATGCTAATGATTAACTACTCTAATAACAGCGTTCATTTCAATCCGACATTCAAATTAAAATATTGAATAATATTTATAACAGAAGCGGTGCTTCCCTCAGACTTGCACTCTATTTGGGGCGGCATATATGCAATACGCTACAGAAATTAATATGGCCACAACAAGTAAGGAGTGTTTGTGCACACCAGCTGACATGGCTATGCTATGAACAAACATTATTGAGAATTCTGGTGAAAAAAAGCCTTCCACCAAGTGCAATATTCAGTCAAAAGGGCACAGCTTGATCAGACACTTGGGCTCTCTGCATTGCTCTTCAGCACTCCACTCTCCTCTAGGGTTTCTCTCAAAGGTACTACAAACTCTAGACACTAGCAAAACAAGCTAAGAACTTGGCATGGGGATTTCCAGGAGACAAAAAGAAAGCACTCGACTTGCACTAAATTGCATTTTTAGCTGAGGTAAAACAAAAAGAAATCCTCCGAGGCCTCTTTATGCCATGTCTATACTGCCGTGAAAAAAAATCTCAGACAACGCCACACACGCTACTGCTGAAAACAACCGTGCTGGAATCAGAATATGCGCATCACTCGTTAAAAAAAAAAAAAAAAAAAAAAAAAACACCGCAAATGCTGCAATTCTTTCATGCGTACAACATCTGCTGCCAAAACACACACGACATATTACAAAATAAACTTTTTTTTCAGAGCAATAAATTCACAACTACAAAAACACCAAACACTTAATGTGTACCTGCAATTTAGTACTTAATGACAAACTGTTTTTCTCTCTTTCTTTTTTGGTATAATTTTCAACCCATTCAACTGATTATTCCAATACATTCTCGCAATTTCTACAAAACCTCACCTGTTATATAACTGCCGTAGTGACATTTATTTACATCAATGGAATTGGTTATCAAGAATCCCAAACACGGTGTAAAGGTGTAATTGTAGTACAGATTAAGCCGATTATTGATGATTAGATGATGGGTTCCACAGTCATTCTAAGTCCTGACGTACTAGAAGACCAAAGCTGTCTAACAACCAGCCATACCAAGCATTCCAAACTGGGGTGAGAAAATGCAAGTTGCCACATCCAGATATTTTGGCTGAATGCCTTAATAATGAGACAGGAAACTGAAGAGCCAACAAATTCTCTTTTTTATTTTTTATTTTAGGTGAAACAGGAGCTAAAGAACACATGAAGCGCTATCTGTGGTAAATAATGGACTTTGATATTACAGATTGCTCCATTTATCTCTCCTACGGAATCATTTGTCTTCCTGGTCACTGTCTGTGAAAACAGGAAGGTTCATATTCAGCAGAATAGGAATTGGATAAAATGCACAAGTGTGTGTGTGTGTGATGTCTATGTGTGAACCTTTTCCTATTGTGGAGGAACTGCTAAATACTAAAATTAAAACCTAGGATTATTTATTTTTTTTGCCAAACTAATTGTCATTTTGTAGTTCCTCTGTAGAATGGTAAGCAAAAGTGTTTAGAAAACGATAATGGTGTGTGGATTATGAGGGGAAAGAATGATCTTCAGGTATATGCCCATTTACAAATGTTAACAAATACATGGCTGTGTAGACCTGTCACGATAACAACTTTTTGTTGTGCGATATTATTGTCATTTTAAAGACCATTTTATGCCACTGAATATATAATCATAATGTAACAGCATAATAATGCAAGAAGGCCTACACACTTCCAAATGACAACAAACTTTTTAAGAATATATAAAATGTTTTAAGAATATTTAGATCATGGAAATTAAGTATCAAAATATTAGATACCTTACAAAACCTGAATAAATAGTAAATAAACAATTTCTAACAAAAAGTGCAATGTAGCAAGTAGAAAAAAGAAAAATGCACTTGTATGGAGAACAAAAAATAAAACAGGCACAAGTGGAATTTACAAAACATGGTGATTCATTTTTAAGTAAATATAATGGGCGATATATTGCATCACCAAAAATGATTGAGGTCATGTACATATATTACGCGATAAGTCGATATATTGATTATTGCGAGAGGCCTATGGTTGTGTATTACTACAAGATTCAAAATGGTTTTCTGAACAGTTCTGTTCTACGCCAAAACATGTCTACACAAACAATAAAGCACAAAAAATGTTGACATCAGTAAGTTGTCAGCTTACTTGGGCTGTCAAAAGAAAACATACTCATCTATTCCTCAACCATTTATACCCCAGAAGGAGTGTGATGTTCATACATGATTCAACTTCCCTGTACAAGACATAACTGGAAGAGCCATAAAAAGAACCACAAGAAGAAGAAGAAGAAAAACAGTAAAATAATCCACCATTCCATTTTGTTATTTCAGTAGAGAATTGAAACTATGATCTTTGTCATTATTTTCAACCACAGAGGACAAAACAGGAGCTAAAGAACACATGAAGCGCTATCTGTGGTAAATAATGGACTTTGATATTACAGATTGCTCCATTTATCTCTCCTACGGAATCATTTGTCTTCCTGGTCACTGTCTGTGAAAACAGGAAGGTTCATATTCAGCAGAATAGGAATTGGATAAAATGCACAAGTGTGTGTGTGTGTGATGTCTATGTGTGAACCTTTTCCTATTGTGGAGGAACTGCTAAATACTAAAATTAAAACCTAGGATTATTTATTTTTTTTGCCAAACTAATTGTCATTTTGTAGTTCCTCTGTAGAATGGTAAGCAAAAGTGTTTAGAAAACGATAATGGTGTGTGGATTATGAGGGGAAAGAATGATCTTCAGGTATATGCCCATTTACAAATGTTAACAAATACATGGCTGTGTAGACCTGTCACGATAACAACTTTTTGTTGTGCGATATTATTGTCATTTTAAAGACCATTTTATGCCACTGAATATATAATCATAATGTAACAGCATAATAATGCAAGAAGGCCTACACACTTCCAAATGACAACAAACTTTTTAAGAATATATAAAATGTTTTAAGAATATTTAGATCATGGAAATTAAGTATCAAAATATTAGATACCTTACAAAACCTGAATAAATAGTAAATAAACAATTTCTAACAAAAAGTGCAATGTAGCAAGTAGAAAAAAGAAAAATGCACTTGTATGGAGAACAAAAAATAAAACAGGCACAAGTGGAATTTACAAAACATGGTGATTCATTTTTAAGTAAATATAATGGGCGATATATTGCATCACCAAAAATGATTGAGGTCATGTACATATATTACGCGATAAGTCGATATATTGATTATTGCGAGAGGCCTATGGTTGTGTATTACTACAAGATTCAAAATGGTTTTCTGAACAGTTCTGTTCTACGCCAAAACATGTCTACACAAACAATAAAGCACAAAAAATGTTGACATCAGTAAGTTGTCAGCTTACTTGGGCTGTCAAAAGAAAACATACTCATCTATTCCCCAAACATTTATAACCCAGGAGGAGTGTGATGTTCATACATGATTCAACTTCCCTGTACAAGACATAACTGGAAGAGCCATAAAAAGAACCACAAGAAGAAGAAGAAGAAAAACAGTAAAATAATCCACCATTCCATTTTGTTATTTCAGTAGAGAATTGAAACTATGATCTTTGTCATTATTTTCAACCACAGAGGACAAGAGAACAAGAGTCCCACAAGTCCATTAAGCTGTTTCAGTCTAAACAGTTACGGGATCAGTTTCAGAAAGCTACCATATCTATTAAAGATGTCTTACACAGCTAAACGGGAGAATTCACAATTTTAACAAACATTAGCTAAAACCATAGTTACCATATTAGAGAGGAAAAAAACCTTGGCCATAGTGAAGTGGTAACGAAAACGAATCATAATCATCACAACTCTATTGTGTGCAAAGCTACGCTAACACCTAGCAAAAGCGGTTTTAACACAACCAACGTCTACGAGAACAACAATGGCGTTTAATCGCTTAAAATGCGTATTATACAGATCACAATATGAATAAAATAACAATGTCAAACTGCTGAAGTCTCCAAACAATACAGTCGCTGCTTTGGCTAGCCAGACTAACGTAAGTTAGCGGTTTAGCACAGCATCGCTATCTACCTGCCACTCAAACGGCTGTCGTGGAAAAAGCTACAACATTAATAGTCTTTCTTCAACGGACTCCCAGTTCCAAGTGACAACGTCAGACTGGGAACCGTGAATAGTTCTACGGTAAAACTGATCAGTGGCGTTTTCTTACCAGCTGCCTTGAAGCACTTCCCCTACAGCATCCGCCATTGCTGTGGTGACGGTCCACGTCAAAAACTGTGTCGTAAATACCAAGCGTCTCGTCGCTACGACCGCACGCACGCGCGCGCTTAGCACAAGTCCAGACCATAGACTGTATAAAACCAGGTCTAGACGCGACGTAGAACGCGATAATCAGCAAAACTGTGGATTCTACAAGCGCGAGATTTTAGCTTTGATGAATAAAGAAGAGCGTTCTAGACCTGCTTAGTTTCGACATGGCATGACACTTGTTGCCTGCCTCCAAAATGAATCAAATGTATTTGTTGTGCATGTAGCCTAGTCCACTAGGCTGCCGAATTGATTTGGGATAAATTATTAATGATTTTTCTGTAAAGACACATCCCCTTGATGTCGTCATACAATAACATGTATGTCATTTGTAATGTGTTATTGAATAAATAAAATAGAAGATCTTTCGATGAATATAGTGTTTAATGAATAGGCTAAATATCATTTTTGTGTATAAATATATATTGTACATATATTTTGTAATGCATATTTTTAATAAAAGGGGAAAAAAGACAAACATTGCTAATCTCACTTTTTGCCCACTTCTTGTGTCATCTGTAGCTGCTTCATCATACAGATACACCTTTGAAAGGATTGGTGGTTTATTTATTTAGCCCAAAATATCAATAAAATAAAATGCCTGTTGTCTGAGGAACATCTAAGTCGACAACCATTGTATGCTTTTGATGTCAATGATTGCATACAAATGCTCATTTACTGATCTCATTAGATTTTTTACCCTGGCAAAAAGTGAGGAGGCATGCCATCCTCACAGGATCTCGCAGGAAGCACTTGTGCCACCACCACAACATTTGGGAAAAGAGCTTTGAAGAGCCCATTCCAATGGAGCACAGAAGTATTGGTCAGCGCCTCTTGTCATTGTCATTTTTACTTTCAGAATTATTCAGAAATTGAAGCACTGACTTCAACTAAGATGTATAATAAAAAATATAATAACAAATCTAATGTAAAAATATACTTTTATTAAGATTACACATTAATATTAGGGATGTATAAATGTGCCAGTTTAAACCAAAATTGCCAGTTTTCATCTGCTGTTCCTTGGCATGTGGTGACCACATTTAATAAGCATTAAATAAAAATAATTACAGCTAAAACTAATCTGCATCAAAACACAAAACCAAGCTGCCTTTATGAATTATGAGCAACTAATTTCTTTATTTTATATTATCATACATTAATACACAGGTAAACTTAACCAACATCACATTTTCCCCTAATATTGTATTTATTTATTTATTATTATTTTGCACAGCTACTTTCAACAGATGAAGCACAACAAATTCATTTTTAACCTTTAGGTGGTGCCACTTAGCTTGCATTGTAAAGTGTATTTTAACCAATCATTTATGATCTTCAAACGTGCAGCAGTCTTGAATGATTGTTCCCTCAAAATCGGGTCTGTGAATCCATTAATACTAATTGATCAGGCTGGAAAACGAAATAAGCAAACATTTACATATTAGGCAACGCTTAATAATCAATGTATACATGCATAGGGAAATGATCACATCCTATTTTTTGTAAACTATTATTTCTGGTCAGGTTAAAGCCAAGCCCTGTACCGTATTACACATTCAACAATGGCTTAAAAATAGAGCCACTTTAAGAGAAAATATCTCAATCCATATTTGAAAGACAGTAATGCCACTTTGTTTTTAATGTTGAAGTCACACAACGAACTAAGTAGGTAAATAATATAAAATGAACTTTCTTTAAAAAGATGGATGGATGAATGAAGATAATTAAGTCATGGCTGCAGTAGTCAAAAAGTTTCTTAGTTTTATTAAAAATTATCAAGAACACCACCATTCTTGAATGAAATTAAAACAGGGATTTAAACTACTACCAAACAATTAATTTGTGTGTGTGTGTGTGTGTGTGTGAGTATAACAATGGCTTAAAAATAGAGCCACTTTAAGAGAAAATATCTCAATCCATATTTGAAAGACAGTAATGCCACTTTGTTTTTAATGTTGAAGTCACACAACGAACTAAGTAGGTAAATAATATAAAATGAACTTTCTTTAAAAAGATGGATGGATAAATGAAGATAATTAAGTCATGGCTGCAGTAGTCAAAAAGTTTCTTAGTTTTATTAAAAATTATCAAGAACACCACCATTCTTGAATGAAATTAAAACAGGGATTTAAACTACTACCAAACAATTAATTTGTGTGTGTGTGTGTGTGTGTGTGTGAGTATAATATATATATATATATATATATACATACATACATATACACACACACACACACACACACATACATACAACTATTTAGGATTCTATAGAATTGTCCTCCACGGACACAAATATACATTATGTATTTAAGGGCATGCCACTTCAACTTTAAAAGTACTTCAATATCTCTTTCTAAGTCTTTACAAATTAATGCAAAATTTGATCAAAAGACCAGGGAGTAAGAACTTAGTTGCTAAATGTAAGGTGTTTCTTTTATTTTCTTGCATTTAGATTCATAAAGAAGGGAGCCATTCTTCAAAAATATGCTTCAATGACATTATTTCACAGAGAAACTAAACAAAATAAAATCAGATACGTGCAGTATGAAAGATAAAATGAGAGGAATGTCATTTTGGTGATTCATGTTTTTTCTAGGTTCATGTTTTTGCACAAAAATGTTTGCGTAAAAACATTACTTTTCTCACAGCTAAGTTTTAAATATTTAATTACAAATTAATGCAAAATTTGATCAAAAGACCAGGGAGTAAGAACTTAGTTGCTAAATGTAAGGTGTTTCTTTTATTTTCTTGCATTTAGATTCATAAAGAAGGGAGCCATTCTTCAAAAATATGCTTCAATGACATTATTTCACAGAGAAACTAAAAATAAAATCAGATACGTGCAGTATGAAAGATAAAATGAGAGGAATGTCATTTTGGTGATTCATGTTTTTTCTAGGTTCATGTTTTTGCACAAAAATGTTTGCGTAAAAACATTACTTTTCTCACAGCTAAGTTTTAAATATTTAACAATTTAGTGCCTCTGTTTGAAGAAATGGGCAAGGTGATTTCACAGCCAAATTATTGAACAGGGCTAAGAGGGTTTTAAGCTAGTTTGTATTATATTTTACAACATTAAATAATCTGCAATTTGTCTTGATTTAGATTATTATTATTATTTATATATATATTTTTTAAGTAGATTGAATATCTTCTATAGGATATTACTTTATCATTTGTATTGACATGTATTATTAAATGCTGCACAGAATGTAAAAAAAAAAAAAAATCCCAAAACTCAAGGTAAAAATAAACACAAAAATGAATAACTGTATGGCCAAATTTCGTATTTAACCATAAATCCCCTTCTCATGAACACAGTGTCATCACAGCATTGACACATCAAGAACAGATTTATAACACAAATACATCTCAACTAAAACTTTAATCCTTCACTTCCCATACAACAAAGTAAGGTTGCTAGGATGTGACAGTGAAAGGACAAAACTTGCGCACATTACAGCATCAAACCACGAATCCATAAAGCAGTCCTGCTGATGGTATACACTGGTATAATAGAATAAACTGACTGAATCTGGTGTCTTGGATGGAACGAAGAAAAAAAAAAAAAA